TGCGTAGCCTCGTCTGACGTAATCACGCGTTGCGTAGCCTCGTCTGACGTAATCACGTGCTGCGTAGCCTCGTCTGATGTAATCATGCGCTGCGTAGCCTCGTTTATTCGCATCAAACAGTCGAGAGGGAAACTAGACGGAAAAAGTCTAGATTCAAATTTTTATTTATTTAATTTTTTGCRAATTTTGAAAAGTTTGATAAAAATTCACTCTACAACTGGATGGAAACACAATTTTAGAGCAACTCATTTTGAGGCTGTCTCTTTAAATCCAAACGAGGCGCTTCACACAAACCTCCCACTAGCTTCCAGACCAATTCAGAGGGTTTTACGACTATTTAGCTGCACAGAAACTTATTTACAAATTATTAAAAGATGTCAACAACAGAAGACTTGTCCATCCAGCTTTACATGTTGGAGCCAGAGCCTGACCCAGAGTCTGATCCAGAGTCTATAGAACTATAGAAAGACCACACCTAGCCTACAGAAACTATACCTGGACCATATTTCTGGACTGTAGAAACCATACCTGGATCATAGAAAACTACACCTAGGCCATATAAACCAAATCTACACCATAGAAACCGCACCTGGACTTTATGAACAGGTCTCTAATGTAAATGAGATAATGAGCCTCAAGAGATTTTCCTGTATAAATAAAAGGATTAAAAATAATGTACTGAGAAATACCTCAACAAAACTTTACATATTCAGAAAAAACTACAACCTTGAGGGTTTCTTTAACTCTAGAAGTTCTGCTGTCAAGTCAAGAGTTTATCAGCATCTGTGGAGAAAATAAAAGGCAAACATTTAATTTTAAGGGCATAAAATAAAATAACAAGGTTCTAAACGTATCTTAAATTAGGTAAGATACACTAAAAACTAAACCAAAGTCTGAAATCAATGACAAAAATTAGGTTCATATTTACTTTTTCCACAGGAAATAGGGAGATAAGCTTCATCCACGAGCTGCTGATCGTCATCATCATCATCATCAAGACCACCTGTAGAGAAGCAGGGGTTCCTGCTGCTCTGCAGCCTTCAGGTGTGACATAAGACAGGTTTGAGGGGTTGGAGGTCATTTCCAAACTATCTGAAGTTTGTCATTCTACAGAGAAAACCTTCCCAGGAGTGACAGGAAGTATACATTTACAGCCGTGTTTTTAGCATCAGCTAAAGTTTAGCATCACGCTTCACTCCGCCTCCCATTCTGAATGAGATATATGTCTGATGCAATCTTCAGAGAAAAGACCAGAGCTTAGAGAACGTTTTTAATAGTGTGTAATTAGTGAGCTGATTTAATAATAAGTCAGTGATCTAAAGGTGTGTCTCAGCGGTCACAGCTCTAAAGGCCTGAACAGAGCCTTTGCTTCCTCGTCTGTAGAGGGAACGTCGGTTAGATGATGGAGGAAGGGTCGTCCGTGGATGCAGGTCCGTTCGGTCTCACCAAGCTGTCGTTCCATGCGCTGAACGATTCCCTCCACGTCTCTCCGAGATAAATCAGTGGGCAGCTGTCGGGCCAGTCGAACCGCCTCGGCCTGTTGGGGCAAAGCTGTTTGTTTAAAAAAAAAAAAACAGAGTTAACGGTGACGAACGGTGACTCCGTCGCATCTGTTTTACCTGCAGGTAGTTTGTGACTTTGAGCGGACGGCACTCCTTCACGCTGGAGGCCTTCCTGTGAAGAACTGCTGTCAGGATCTCCCTCAGGTCCTCCACGCCGAGAAAAGGCACGCAGTCCGCCATCGCTGTCACTTCCAGATGTCTGTCTGACATGAGGCCGGGCCAAAACAAGCAGAAAACAAGGATTAATACACTCCAGACGCCACTACTATCTCCAGGAAAGAATAATAAATAAATACTGCGGTTTACTGCCGAAGCCACGACCAAGAGAAACAAGGCGAGGGCCAAATGGAGTGTTAAATGACTAAGAGAGGCCCCAGAAGACTGGAAGGAAGCTGTCTAGGAAGGTGGAAGACTGATGGTTTCACTTTTTATGAGGAAATACTGTAAATCATGCACAAATTTTAATTCTGATCATCCAAGGATGCAAAGACAGTTACTGCGTGGTGTATATATTTAATATAAGAAGATAAATAGAATTAAAAAGCACAAAAACGTTCAAAGAGCTGTTTCTGATTGGATAAATCAAGCTAACAAGAACGGCCTTCCCAAAGTCCAGACATAAACCCGACTGAAACCTACTGATTTAAACAAACTCAGCTAGATCTCCACCACAACCCTGATGATGAAGCGTTACAGCTAAAAGAAGCAGAACACCACTAGCCAAATGTAGCTAACTGATACATAAAGGCTAGATGGTGCGAAAGGCTACGTCCTAGTAGCTAAAAGTTAAGAGTAGCAAAACTCGGGCTAAATGCACCAAACCGTTATCTGAGAGTATCAAATGTTAGCTAGAAGCTAAAGTACAGATTAAAAGCTAGGTAGCAAAAGGCTAGCTTAAACCTAGAAGTAACAGAATCATAGCTAAAAGCTAAAAGTCGCAAAAGGCAAGCTGAACATATGAAACATTAGCCAGAAGCTAAAAACCAAAAGGTTAGCTGGAAGCAGCAGAATCATAGCTAAAGGTTAAACATAAGATAGGAGCTAAAAGCAAAAAGTAGAAGAATCATAGTCAAAGGGTAAGCTGAACATATCAAATTTTAGCCAGGAGGTAAAACTTAACGTAGTTAAAGTTAAGTAGCAAAAGGCTAGCTAAAATCACAGGTAAAAGCTAAAAGCAGTATAATCAAGCTAAAAGTCTCGAAGTTTAGTAAGAAGATAAAATTCRCTAAAGAAGAATCTAATCAGCAAAAAGCTAGCTTAAAGTAGCTAAATTATTGCTGAAATCCAAAAATAGCCAAATCCAGCTAAAATATCAAACATTAACTAGAAGCTAAAGTAGCAAGAAGCCAACAAAAAAAGATAAAAAGCTAAAGGATAGCTTTTGGTCATCACAAAATAACCAAAAGCTAAAACTAGCACAACGCTAATAAACATAGAAACATTAGGCAGAAGCTAAACTTTGCCAAAGGCCATTTAAAAGGCTAMGTAATAAAGGCTAGCTAAAACATAAAAGTAGCAGAATCACAGCTAAAAGCTAAAGGTAACATAAGACAAGCTAAACATATCAAAGGCTGGCCAGAGGCTAAAGGGAAACTAATGTATAAAACACTAGYCAGAAGCTAAAAGTAGCAAAACACTGACTATAGGTAGCAGAATATTAGCTAGAAGCTAGAAGTAGCAAAATTAAGCTAAAAGTCCCAAATGTTAGTCTGAAGCTAAAATTTGCAAAAGGTAAAATGAAATACTTAAACTGCAAAAGACAAGCTAAAGTAGCAAAGATGTCAAACACTAACTAGAAGCTAAAGTAGCAAAACAAAAAAGCTAAAATGCAAAAGGCTAGCTAAACGTATCAAAGTTGGCCAGAGGACCATTTTGCTGAAGCAGATTCTAAAAAGAACTTTGCTTTTGAAGGAAGTGAAGAGCTCTTTGTGTGTTTTTACACAGATARTTAATGAAAAATATTTAGAAAAATATAAAAGTTAGAAAAACCCAGACACACCGAACCTGAATGAGCTGAACGTTTTAATTTAAGAACAGCTAAAATAAAGTTTGCACAAGTAGTTAGTAAAAAAAAACACAAGAAATAATAAGGAAAATAACGGATGATTGCTGACTCAGCATTTCCTTTACAAACAACTCTATATTTGCTTCAGTTTAAAATTAAAAGACAGGAATTAAACTGAGCGTAAAACAACAGAAGCTTATTAAAAAAGGCAGATCTGCAGCCTGACCGAGCCTCACATGGACCCAGCCTGGCAGAAACAAAACAAAAATTCCAGGAATTTGTTAAAGGGCAACGGTTCTGATCACCTGCACACCGGGGGGACGGACCTGCCGTGAGACCACGCTGCCGGGCTGAACGCCAAAGTCAAGTGAGGAGAAACGCTCCGGCAACAAAAAACAAGCAACACTCAMGACACGCGGTGGGCTCGGACGTGACCCGCTTCGTTTTCAGAACCGTCGTTTGGCTCTACGGCTCGTTTGTCACAAAAACTTTCATTTGTTGTTTATTTAAGAAGAGTTTTAGGAGTATTTATATGAAAAAAGGCTTTTTGTTTGTTTTGTTGGTACCTGCTGTGAGTTTGATTTTGAACCCATTTGAAACCAGCCGGGGGTCAGAGAAGACCACCCCTCCGGTCAGATCAGGGTTCTGTTTCTCCATGTTGATCAGAGTCTGCATGTGTTCAGCTCCTCCGAGGCTCCTGGAGAACAAAACATTTGTAAAAACGTTACAGATTAATTCCTTTCATTTTATTCATAAATTATGTTTTTATTGTAAATAGATTTTCTTGTTTTAATGAATGAATATAAGGAATAAAGTAGCTAAGTCTAACAGCGAGGGGACAGATTTTCCTTTGCACCAGCAGCTGAGGTTTGATGACGGAGTATTAGGGCCACACAACGAGAATTTTTTACTTATTATTACGAGATTAAAGTCGTAATATTATAACTTTAATCTCGTAATATTATGACTTTAATCTCGTAATATTATGACTTTAAACTAGCTAAGTCTAACAGCGAGGGGACAGATTTTCCTTTGCACCAGCAGCTGAGGTTTGATGACGGAGTATTAGGGCCACACAACGAGAATTTTTTACTTATTATTACGAGATTAAAGTCGTAATATTATAACTTTAATCTCGTAATATTATGGCTTTAATCTCGTAATATTATGACTTTAAACTCGTAATATTATGACTTTAAA